AAATATAATTGTACAAAGTTTTATTTAAATATTTTGGCATTTTAAAAAAGTAAATCAGAGCTAAAAAAGTGCAAAAATGCAGACAAATTTGCTTGTGTTAGTTTACATATTAAGGGATAATAATTACAATTAGATAAACTAAGCTTATACAAAGAACTATATCCTAAAGAAAAATGGCAAAGCTATATCTCTTTTATTTTCATTGCTAGAATAGAAATACTTTTTGTATTGGTATCACATTCCTTTTTCATTCTTTTATTAGATATACCAAAGCAATCTGCAGTGAAATTGTAAATTAAAGATTTTTATGCTTAATACGAATATAAATCTCAGAAAAACAATTAAAAAGAAAGCATATTATTTTTCATATTAAAGTTTCAATATTCTGAGAAGAATACTGATAAACCACCCAAATTGAATTGTAAATAAAATTTTCCTTAAAACTGTTATCATTAAATCATAAATAGTTGATATACAGTATTGTCTTTCTTTTATTATTTGTTCTGCCAAGTGATACTTCTCTGTATTGTGCTGCAAAAGGATATAAAAGATTTCTACAAATGTATCAAAAAATTTTGGTAATTTAGCTTTCATGATACTCAAAATCAGATAATTTTTGGATTGTCAATGGAAAATATCTAAAAGAAATATTAAAGATGCTTTAGAATAGTTTTTATAATTAAACTTAAGAAAAATAACCCAAACTCAAAAACAAGATTCAAGATAAGAATTAAAATTGCCAGCTCTAAAAAATACTGCATAAATATCAAGAACTAATGGAATCGTATTATCTAGCAAGTCTTTAAGTATCAAGTATTCTGGATCTTTGTATATATAACTAAATTTTATTTCAACTATTTTTTGCAATTTCTTGCCATACACTACACGAAAGTTCTAACAATAAGTTGATACACTATAGCTTTAGTTTTTGAGGAAGGTTTTCTTTTTGTTAAATATATATTTGTATATTTCAGAAAAGAATAGTTGATATTGAAAAAATATTAATTCACAACTGTTCAATGAGATATGCAAAGGACCTATTATTGAAAGAAATAACAAAATTTTATCAGTAATTTCAGAAAAGCTACTATTAACAAGAAATTGTGATATAGCTGTTCTTAAATGTATTTGACTGGGCCAATCAGTGATAACTGAGATAAAATTGTTATTTTCAATATATTTATTTATTGTTAGGACTAATATAGCAATATTAATGGTCTTAATATAAGCATATATTGTACGAAGATTGCTCTCAAAGAAATCTACAAGCACTGTGTCTTTAAGTGATCTTAAACTTCTTTTTTCTTTTAAACAAATATTATAACTATGAACTATCAATTCTTCAAGCTTGGTTTCATCATCCACAAATTGAAATCCCCAATATTGGTTATAAGAAAGTAAATATACTGGCATAAAATAATTTTCAATACTGGTTATAACCAATTGAGAATTAACTAATATAAGGTTGTGAATATCTTGTTTTGGTATTGCTGGTTGGGTCTTGATCAAATTAAGTAAAATAGTGACGAGATGTACTAGAGCAGATGTTGTAGTTGTAATAGGTATTTTTATAGTGTGAATACTATAATAATCATCAATATTTAAAAGTAGTATATTATTAGAACTATCTTTAAGACTAGTTTCCACAGTTGCTAAATACTTTTGAGATACAAAATTCTTATAGTAAAAAATTAACCAGGAAATTAATATCAAACCTATTGTTGCTAAGGTATCTATTGTGGAATTAGGTGTTCTGGAGAATCTAAATATATTTTTAAATTTCTTTTTGTATTATTAACAAATATATTTCTAATACTACAAATAAAATAATACAAAAATACTAATTGCTTTGATACTTTTTCTATTGTATTTATGCTTTTTTATTACAGATTGGTCAATAAATATAGTTTGTTAAAAAAAACTTTAACTGTTAATCTTTTAATTCCATAACTGTATGAAATTCCTCAAAATCCCAAATTGTTAGTAGTTTATTCTGCTCTCTTTTATAAAGAATATCTGTAATTATTTCTATAGCCTGTAAAAAAGTTATACTATCAGTAAAAATATCTATAGATGTTTCTTCAGAGATTTCTGGCACATTATGGCAAGACTGTTCAAATGCATGTTGCTAAAATTCAACTATACTTCTTGTTATAATTTTATTATAGCAATTTAAACAAATTGTATTACCTAGTTGAACATAATTTGGAAAAGTTTTGTTAGTTTAATCTTTAGAAATAATATTTTCAGTTACTGTTTTTCAGTTAGAAGACTGTTTCTTGCAAATTGTAATTACACATAGTTCTGTAAGTTTATTAGTAAATAGTATTTTTGTCTTCTAAGCAAAGTTTATTAGGAGTAAGATCTTTTTTAAATTCTTTTGCATAGTGAATATTGACACTATTCTAAAGCTACAAATAGCTTTTGTAATAATTTTTTATTAATAAAATGTTGTGTTATGAAAAAGTACTTTAAAGTATATAAATAAGTTATCTAGGCAATTAATCTGTATTAGCTAATCAGACAAATTTCTTTCTTTGAGATTGAACCTGTTTAACCCAGGTGATCTAACAGGCTGATCTGGGTAGACTGACAGGTATTTCTAGCCAATTACTAATGTTTGTTTATATCAGGTAAAATAGGATTTACATATTCTATTTTATCTAACAGAAGTGACTATTCAGGTTGTATAAATTATAGATCACTTCTATAAATATCCTAACTAATTAAATTTATAAATTGTGATAATTATATGCTAATTAACCAATCAGTTTTTGAGTTGCAATTTTATACAAAAAAAAAAAAAAAAAATACAAAGAAATATACTTGATTATATATCAAATAAAAACCCACAAACTCATTAAAATATATCTGGTTATTTTATTAAAGCCTTTAAAATTTTAATAAATACATATTTATATATAGTATATAAAATCTCTACTATATTTTTTAAAAAAATCCAATAAAAAAACCATAATATATAGTTAATAACTTATTTTTATTTTATTAACTCTTCCCAATGATCACTGTAACCAAATTCGAAGCTAAGAAAAATAGCAAATAAAACAAAAACACACTAAGCTATCTATAGAAATACTTCTAAACAAAAAGACTAAGCAAGGAATTTAAGCACTAGTTATTTAGAGAAACTTTGCTTTCTGTAAACACTAATACCCAATATTTAGAAAAAACTAACTTTTTTTAAATTTTTCTGGTGAATTTGGAAAATTGTCTCTCACTCTGAACAGTAAATCTCTGTATAACAAAACAAATAAACACATTCATATCAAATACACAAACAAATAAACAAACAAAATACAATTAGATAATTAAGCAACAAAACAAACAAACATGTAGCAAGCAAAGCAAAACAAAACCAAATAAACAAATATAAAGAACAAACAAACAATACGTAAAATGCCTACTCTAGAGGAATATAGAAATATATTCAACAAGTCTGAGAAAGATAGACTTGAATTATATAACAAACAGAATACAATGATACTTGATAATGATCAAAGAATAGCAAATTTCTTAGATACTAAAGATGTATATCTAATAGCCATTATATGAAATATACTTCATATCTATGAATGGATTTAGTATAAAAAAACAAGAAAACTAGATATAACTGAAGAGAAAAAAAGTCTAATTAAATTGGACATAGCTAATAACAAGTTCTTAAATGACACCTTTGCAACTAGAAATAAAGTAATTGCTATAGAAATTATTTCTACACAACCAAATATAGTTATTAGCAAATATGATAGCCACATTACATAGCCCAAAAATAATGACAAATCTTGCCCAATCTCTATAGAAATCTCTGTAACACAGCCTAGCACTATATCTAACAACCTTAATAACAATATAGCAATCGATAACCCAAGTACTTTATGCAAAAGAATCTACACAAAACAAGAAGTTGATAGTTATCCAACTAAAAGCAATATAGAGTTAATCAAAGAAACTTTATTACAAAATGAATGTAAGGTCTTGAACTATAGTCTAGAAAGGAAAATACACAAAAATGATTATGAAAACACAAAACTAACTAATATAGTAAAGAAAAAAAAAACTAAGCATTATGAAGATATCTATAACTCAGAATAGGCTCCGAAAGAAAATTTCTTACTACAGAAAGAATCAAACACCTCACAATACTTTTTTACAATTTGAGATCTTCCAAAAAAAATGAATTTTAATAAAATTAAAAAATATCTTGACTATTTTGAAACAGCAACATTTCTAGCCTGGTAATAATAACACAAAACCAAAAAGATATATATCAAAATTGCAACAAGTATTGGAAAAAGAGAAAACTTATTAAAAGACAACTGGTCAATACATTTGGACCAAGAAAAAACCTATAGAATAATGCCAGAAAAATTCAATCACAGGAAGCTAAAAGAAAGAAACAAGTACAAAACCACTATCTTTAATGTACCCAAAACTGCTCTGAATAGCTTACTACTTCGGCAACTAAAAAAATACAAAGTACAAGCAGTACACACTCTAAGTAATCATAATAGAAATCAGTGCAAAAGAGTATATACATACTTCAAGACAGAAGAAAACCTAATGCAAGCTCAAAAAACAAACCTCTACTACTATAGCACTAAGCTGGACTGGCAACTTTCCTTAATATTTAACACTACTACAAAAATAAGCCTAATAATAACAATTATTATAACAACAAAAGGAAAAATTCACTGTGTGATTTGAACTCATCTAGAAATCAATACTAAAATAAAAAGCTTAAATATGCTTCCAATTTAAACAAAACAACCAATCATCATAACAATAATAAAGAAAACCAGACACAGCTCAAACTTAATAACAATGCAAGTTTATAGTCAAAAAAAAGATCTTTACTTAACAATACAGAACATAAAAGCTCAACTTCCAAAAGTCAGTATTTAGGTAAAAAAGAAATAAACCAGAAACTTAATATTTCTAGTATACAAGACTATGAGGAAAAAATACTCAAAATAGCAAAAGAACAGAAAAACAAGTCATATCAACTAATAAATGAAAACACAGAGATGAGAGCTATTCTAAATCAAATCTTGTTTAGACTTAATCAACTAGAAGACTAGCATAGTTAACAAGTAAGTATCAAAGGAAAGGAAGTTTTTGATCACTCATAAAAGTCACTACAGTTGTCTCAAAGTATTCAAGTAAGGCAAGCACCTCACTAAGCTACAAATCAAATATAAAACAAATAACACAACTTAACATAACAAATTTAGATATTTTAAATATTGGTTTTCATAACATAAATAAACTCAAGATGAACAAAAATAGAATAGATTTAATTTTAGATTTTATAAAAGAAAAAAAGTTAAATATTATGAGGTTAGAAAAAACAAATATTTTAGAACAAGAGGACAAATTCTTACTTTGGAAAACAATCAGTATAAATGTTTCTGGGCAGCAGCAGATGAAAACAAATATAAAAGCTTGGGGGTATGAATTATTCTGGAAAAAAAATAGGAGCAACATGTTTCCAAAGTAGAAAATATAAATTTTTATATACTCAATATAAGACTAGATTTCAAAAGACTAAGACTTTGTATAGTTATAGTATATATAGCACTCTCTAATGATAAGATACAAAAAGAAATTTATAAATATTTACAAGATATTCTAGACCAACCTAGTCACAAGCCAAACAAGTTTATTATATTAGATAACTTTAATATAGAAATAGAAAGAGAAATATGTAAAGAATATACAAAAAAATGAAAAGCCAAAGTTAGAAAAAACAAAAAAAGACAAATTATAGATCTTTTAAAGAAGAAGAATTTCAAAGATGCTTTAGAATTAACCAATCCTAACAAACACATAACTATTTGGGCTAGTAGAGGAGTAAAAATGAAAATAGACTATATATGGGTTTCAAAAAGCTGAGAAAAAAATATTATTGCAGAAAAAATATATGAAGCAGATCTAATAACAGCAAGCAATTACAAGATACTTATAGCCAAAATAGAAACTGATCTTAGCGAAAGAAAAATATCCCAAGCAAAACTATATAAAAAAGAAAATAAGAAAATCTGCATAGATCTTGAACAAGCCTCAGAAGAGGATTGGAAAAAATACAAAGAAAGGCTTAAAACTAAAAACCAAGTATAAAGAAGTTAACACAATCTCAGATTTAGAAGAAGAAAATATAAATGAAAAAGAAGAATCCAAATATAGAAAAGAGCTCGAAACATGGTAGAAAATCCTCTTACTAAAGGATCTTGTTGTTATTTGGTTCTCTAATCTTAGACTAATTTTCAAATTTAAGTATTTTCTGAAGTATCGTCAAAAATTATGGCTACTTCTTACTTGAGTCTTCCTAAACAGATTTTGATTACCATATAGTCGCGAAATAACACACCACTACGCATTAATTTATCTACCTGCATATTAATTCAGGATGCTTATGGGTATTATTTCAGATTATATAATCGATTTTTCTAAAAATAGATGAGCTCAAATAACGCATATAGGCATAGAACGTATTTATAATTTCAACTTCAATGCTATAAATATAATTTAATAAGATGACTTAGATTAGTATATTTTTACAATAAATATCTTCCAACTTCACAACCAGTCTTATTTCATTTGAAATGATAGTGCCTACTGATATACATTGTGCAAATACTAACTAGTACATAATGTGTATAAAAATATACATAAAGGCGTTGCTTGCTTTATTTGATAAAAGGCGTTGAAGATTAGTTCACAACAAAAGAAGCAAAAAAATTAGAAATTTTAATCTTATAATAATTTTATTCTAATTAATATAATCCTTCAAGATATTGAATTTTTTAAAAAAAAATTTTTTTGGCCCATCTACTCCTTTTGCTATGGGGGTCCTATATTATAATAAAGAATTTTTTTGAACCTCATCATAACAATGTTCAAAAATTATAATTGAACTTATAAGTTGTTTTTTTTTTTTCAAAAAAAAAATTAGCAAATTAAAGTCTGCTGAAATAGACCAAATTAAACAAACAATCATAAATACTGCAATCAAATAAATTAAATAAGATAAACCAAAACTCACTAATAAATTAAAAAGAGATATTTGTTTCTTAAACTTTACTGTGCAGCTTTTACAGCCAGTTAATTTTAATTTTACATTTTTTTTTATTTCTTTATAAATTTTGATTTTGTGCTACAGATACCTATTGTGAGTACCTGATATACAGTATTTGCCTTTTAAGCATGTTGGTTTACATGTTTTGCATTCAATTTTATCCTTTTTTTTTTTTTTTTTACCTGACCTACAAATGAACACAGACAAAAAAAGAAGCTATATCGTCTTATTTAAACTTGAAGTAGTATCATATACAGAGTCTACATTTAACTGTTATGCATTACTGTTCTACAATATCAATAGAAGATGCATGCAAGAATGAAAAAACAGAAGTTAGAACTTGAGACTGTTAGAGATAATAAAAACTGAAACATAAACCAGGTGTGGGCTCTTGAAGGTCACGGTCAAAAAGCCAAATATCCTACATTATAAAAGAAATTATTAGACTGTATTAAGCAAAAATGAGATAAAAAAATTGCTGTAATGACTCAAATGATTGAAAAAAAAGCAAAAAATTTAGAAAAAACCATGAACATTGATGCTAAGTTCTCATGTGGATGGATCAAATATTTTAGAAAATGACATAATTTGGTATAGTGTGTTTGAACACAAATTGCGCAAAAGTTCCCTGAAGATATGCTCTTAATTGTTAGTAACTTTTTATAAAATATACGTGAAAAGACAAAAAATATTGAAAAAAAGTTTGTTATATTATTTGATGAAATACCAGTTTGATTCGACATGCCCCAGAGCTTAACATTTGATTTTCAAGGTGTTTGTGAGGTGGCAATTAGAAGTACAGGACATAATAAGCTTCATTTTACAGTTATTTTAGGTTTCACAGCCTCTGGAGATAAGCTCCCTCCGATGGTCATTTTTAAGCTAAAAAAAAAAACCAAAAGGTAGATTTCTACGGAATATCGTTTTAGCAATGGTACTCTGTACAAATATGCAGACAAACCTAATGATCTTAACTTATATTCCTCAAGTTATTCAGACAAGACCAGGTGGATTTTTCAAGCAAAAAGGTGTAGTTTTTGTTGATAGCCATCATAGTCATACTCAAAAAAATGTAATTAAGGTATTGAATGCTAAAGGTCTAGATGTTATAGAGATACCCGGCGGCACTACTTGTGTTTTACAACTACCAGATGTTTCAGTGAACAAACCATTCAAAAGTGGATTGAGAAAGAGGTAGGATAAATGGATCGATGAAGGAGAAAGAGAATTTACTGCTAAGGGAAATCACAAAAAAGCATCATACGAACTTTTTTGCAAATAGATGTCTGAAACGTAGAAAGAAATTAGTTCAAGTCTTTTGGCTAGATCTTTTGAAGCATCTGGACTTACTTTTAATTCTGATAGCAGTGAAAATGACAAAATGACAAGTTGTCTCCAAGCTATTGTTCAAAACTGTATGAATTATACAAGAATGGATGAAATTTTTATAGATGAAATGGATCCTGATAATGAACTAGATGTTGAAAACATAAGAGACACTGATGATGCAGAGGATGATGATGCAGAGGATGATGATACAGAAGATGAAGATGCAGAGGATGAAGACACAGAGGGTAAAGATGCAGAGGATGTGGGAAATAGTGATTCACAATCATAATTAAAGAGCTTTTTAAATTTTTTTTTTTTTTTTTTTTTTTATTGTTGCATTTTAATTAACTTTATATAATAGTGCTTAATGATACAATAATGATGTCAAAGCTATAATTTTTTTTGTCAATGGTAAAATTCACTTTGAAGCTTAATCTTAAAATAATAGAAATTGATTAGTAAAAAAAAAAAAAAAAAAAAAGTTCATTACAAACTTTGTATTCTGTACTTATCTTCATTTGGCATTTTTTTTTTAATCTTTAGTATAATTGACTTGGATCTAAGTGTAAAAAAAAGAATTAGCAAATACACAAATACATTAATTCAATCGACTTTTTCATTGCTTAAAAAGCAATAACTATTGCTTTGGGTTTTAGTTTTCAGGTCAAGTGCTTTATATTTTCCAATAACAAAATAAGTCTTTTTAAAGGTTATTCTATACTATATATAAATTTAAAATCGCTGGTCTCAGATTACAATATTTTTAAAATAAAATCTAAGGTCTGCAAGTTGAAATCTGTAAACCAAAAACAAAAAATATTAATTACTTGAATTCAAAAAAAGTATTTTTATTTCAGTATTTACAAGATTCCTTTTTAAATTAATTTATTTGACCATGATTTAACTTATGATTTACTCTATGATTTACCATGCATGTTATTTCAGAACGCACATGTGCATTATTTCGAACCAAATATAGCATTTTTTAAAAAAGGCAATTTTCGAAATAACACTCATGTACATTATTTTGCGACTATACAGTATCCCAGTTTCTTGGTCTTTTATACGCCAAAGCCTCCATATAAATATGGTATTATCAAGATTATAAATTCTAGAACCTAACTGATTGATGAAAAATTATTATTATAATATAAGCTTATTTTTCAAAAACATCATCTGTAGGATTCGAACTTTGAATCTGCTGCTTAGTAAGGTAATAATTAAACTACTTCACTAAGCTACTACACTCTCTTTTTTCAAATTTATTGTAATTCTACTATTCATAAATCATATAACTATTAGCTATATTAGCTAGCTAACTATATTATTTTAGCTAGCTTAGTTTGCTATGCTAGCTTGGCTATAGTTACTCTAGTTGGCTTACAATACTATAATAGATTATTGATCTTTGTATAATAGTAACTTTGTAGATTTCTATATTTATATTTTTAATCTCAAATATTTTGAGATTTATCAAGCTGATTTGAATGATTTAATTACTATTAGAATTCTAAAAATCTTCTTTTAGAGCTTTGATCTGGATTAGAAAATAGTAACTCAAATAGATCAGATATTTATCTAAGTTATAACCCAGGTCAATGGGTTATATAAGCAATTAGTATTTCACAAAACTAGGTCTAAGTGGATCTGAATAGATTTAGCATTTTTAATAGA